AAATGCGACAGGAGAAAATGATTCTATTTTTTTGGATTCCGGTAACCATTACCGTGAAATTCGGTGTTGGAGACTCGCCTCGGTTTCTGTGACAAATTTGGCGAGAATCCAATAATTATATGAAATGAAAGCTGATCATTCAATCGGATTTTCTTTCTAATGACGCTAATAGAATGGAAGATTGTCTGCTTGGAGGTTTTGACAGAGAATTTAAAGTTAATTTGATAAATGATGCGGTAACGAAATGAAACGTTCCGGAAATCCTAAACTCCGCATCTAAGAACCTTGTCGATAGAATGGATTCAGTCAAAGTTCATCAACTTTGCAGAAAATTACATTTGCTAGATCATACATTTTACTTGAAAAAAATAAGCTTGAAAAATATATATATGAAAAATATAAATAAAATATAAATATAAAAGAATGACGGTGGATATTCTTACGGCTCTATTTTCCATTCTAGTTTATCTATTCCAATTTCCATTTTAATTTATAAACGAACTAATTCTATTAATGTGCATAAAACGAAATTATTTCTAGTATGACGTTAATTAGGGAAAATGTTGAGAAGTTTTTGCACAAAGACGAAAAAATACCCTTGCGAACACTAACACGCGTTTCATGGAGGAAAAAACAGGCTCCTATTAAAAAGGTGTAAAATGTTGTCCTGAAAAACACGCAGATCCAATTAAAATTGAGTAAAAAATAAAACTACACCGCCCGCCGCAGAATCACATGACTTAATGAACAATTTCCGACTTAAAAGGACATTTCAGAAACAGGCTTATAATATCACTGCCCCTGTTTAACCTTTGTCGCCTTTTCGGGACAGTGAATGATTAATTTTGATAAAATTCCCCATGTTCTTAACTTTAATTAACCCAATGTACGTTTAATTATTGGGCCTTTCAAATTTTGACTTTGTGGAAAAATCTAAGATTAATATTCCTGTACCAAATGCGCCAACAAGTTTTTTTAATATAACAGCGCAGCAAATTTTTTAATTCCCGAAAAAGCTATAACAAGTCGTGCTTCTTATTGAAAGACTTCGTACTTGGTGAGAGTGCAACATATTAGTAAAACGTTTTTCCTAAATCGCTTCGTTTAAACGTCCGAATTCTTCAAGTTAATTTAAAATAGGTTTGAATAAATCTATTTATTGTAGTTTGATAGTCATTGTTTTGCCGAAATTCTCATATGCCTTAAATAAAGAACTCGCTTAAATATTTATGTATTGAACAATCGTAAATTTGCCGTGGAATACCGATCATCTTGGACTGATGTTTAGAAATATTGCGACGCTAAACTCTTCCATTTAAACTCGCGCTCCCTTTAAAATATTTTTAAATTTTTTTCCAAATTCCCATTCCGAACCCTTTAAAATATTTTATGTCGTAGTTTGGAAAGCAGCTTAGCCAGATCACCAGCCAAAAGATGCGTGAATAAACGTGACAGATTATCCTTCTTGCATCCTGGGCCTGTGCTCGAAAGGATATTTTTAGTTGTTGTCAGAGGTGTTTCGGTGGTTTTAGGAAAATGTTTGAATTAATTCACAGAACTTTAATCCCCTAAAATCTGCCTAAGTCGTTGTTCAGGGAAGTAATATGTAAAAATAAAGCCAATTTAAAAAATTTAACGATTCTTGAAGTAGTTGCGAATTAAATAAAAATCTAAATTAAGTTTTAATTTGAGGTTTCAATTCAGTAACATTAATAACTTTTAATTACCAATGCTATTAATATAAAAAATTATATATTTAAAATGTTGCGGTTAAGGTTATGATGTGTTCGCAAGCTTGTTGACGTTTGCGACAACTTTCTTGAAGACATGAATAAATAATTCATAATCTATGAACACATTTCATTACAGATTCTCTCGATTTTCAATTAATTTGTCAAAGCGTTACTACCATGAGTTTCTAACGTGCGAGGCTATATGCGTATTTCATAGTAATTGCCAGTCATTTTTCATCTCATCAGTGTTAAATTCATACGACGATTTATCTCATTCAAAATATTTTATCATATTTCAGTTATACTGACCAATGAAAATTAACAAAAAGTTATACTTATCGTTCCTGATTACCTTTAAATATTGAAATTAACTATATTTTTAGCTTGCCGTCTACGGAGCTCATAAACTTAACTACAGAATCAAGACCGCAATGAACATTTTACATCATTAATCAAAATGACTTCGGAGTTATGGACATGTAAATTCAAGAGAGTTTGCGTGCCTCCAACGCGCAAACGCTGCTTCATTCAATGAGTAACACAGAGCGCATTCAGTGAATGCTCTGAGCTTTTGTTTACATGAAGCGTGGCTACAGTACTGCTTCATTCACTGAGTAACACAGAGCGCATTCAGTGAATGCTCTGAGCTTTTGTTTACATGAAGCGTGGCTACAGTACTGCTTCATTCACTGAGTAACGCACAGCACACCACATGAATGCTCTAAGCATCGAAGTCAACGAAACAAATTGAAAAAAAAAAATGAATGAAATCTTGATTTAATTGAAAAGGCACCGATAAATGACAAGGATCATCAACAAAAATGACGAAGAATAATTTGCCTAAATTGAGCAGATGGAATCTTTAGCGAGTGTGGCGGTATACAACGATTATGAATATTCATTCTATCTAAACAAATTCGTGAAACATTCTCGATGCATAAATACTAATTATTTAGTAATTTTCTCAGTGGAATAAATTTTATCTGTATATTTTATGTACATATAAAAATGTGACTAAAATGCACGGAAAAAAAGAATGATCGATTTTCAAATGTATCATGGTTCGGTTAAAAGAAAGAGGACTAGTTTCTTATCAATCATAAGCGAAAAAAACATGTTATTGTTAAGAAAAGATCTTTTTTACGAACGCCATGACATTTTATTGCTATGGCTGCTTGCCACGATCCCTGCAGGTCGGTATATCTTCACGTAGGAATTATAAAGAAATAAAACGTCTTTCCTAGAAAGGACCAAGTGCAGGTGTGGTAGCTTGGAGCGACTTGACTTCCGAGTTCAACGTAAAATGTGTGTTTGAAACGGTCCTTCTTTAATTGGCAAACATAAGCTTCATTAATATTAGCGCGACCAGGACGAAATTTGCATTGTAATCTCGAGTAACCCGGTAGTATCCTGTTATTTATCTGAAACTGATAGATAAAACTTTAAGCAGATCCGATTACCTCTGAAGCGAGACTCCTCAGCACACATTGGAAATCTCGTTAAAGCTATAATATAGACTCTAGATCATTATTACGCCAATTAATTTTACATTATTATTCAAGTTTGCTAGCCAAACTATCATCATTCTCATGCAACCTATACATGAGATGGAATAAGAAAACCTCGTCAAACGATGCAACTTGTTCAGCAATTGATATATCAGTCAAGTGGTAAAAGTTAGCTTAGATTTTATTAGTTATTAATAACTAAGTGCATGTTTAAAGTGTATAGTCATTGGGTGAATTTAAATATTTTTACACCTAGGTTTTTAAAACAATCCGTAATTTTTTCTAACTGAATTCTAAAATTGGAATATAAGCGTAAGTATACGAGTGCGACAAAATAAACCCCTTATATCCGCAAACCACCTGTCAATGATTTTAATCAATTTATCCATGGTTATTCCGAGTAATATTTGTTATACAAAATTGATCTCCAGCCACGCAAAAAAATATAAAATTTCCGGCACTTGATGGTTTCATTTCTTAGCTATATGCATTCATCAGAACGTATCGCTGTGGTCAGTTCAACAGATGTAGTTTTCAGCTGCGTCGATGCATGACGACTCTTCGCACATCGATTGATTCGGCCGATGGTTAAGTACAATATAGCAGACCGAGTCTACAATATACAGACTAACAATATAGCAGACGACTGAGTCTACAATATACAGACTGACCATATACAATATTGCAGACTGAGGCTACAATATACAGACTGACAATATTCAAAATAGAAGACTGAGTCTACAATATACAGACTAACAATATAGCAGACGACTGAATCTTCAATATACAGACTGACAATAAACAATATAGCTGACGACTGAGCTTGTAATATACAGACTGACAATATACACTATAGCAGACTGAGTCTATAACTATAATACATCGACTGACAATATACAATATAGCAGACGACTGAGCTTGTAATATACAGACTGACAATATACACTATAGCAGACTGAGTCTATAACTATAATACATCGACTCACAATATAGCAGACCGTGTGCACTCAGATAATTTGAGGAGGCATATTATCCCAATAATGACCCATTCCCATACTCGCAGCGCGAGCAGAGAGCGGGCGTAGCACTGATACGCCCTTTTGCAGGGACAAACTGCGTCAGGATGAACAGCACGTGCAAAAAAAATATGTCGATATTCGGACAAAGTACCATTAATTTCTGAGAGTGTGTAATGACTGAGCATAATCCTTTTTTTATCAATATTAGCAATAAGCTGGTGAAAATTGTGCATTGAAAAATGACATATTCATCTGAATCGCACATGCAACTACATCTTTATTTTCGAAGGCAATTAATATATTTATATGTTTTGCATATGTGGAATCCTTGAATGTTTATAAATAACGAAAGTTATTTTCAGAGACGTATATCATTCAAAAAACATTCAAAATCATGTATCTCTTTCCCCAGATTATAAAATTATGAATAGAATTAAAATGTTGCAACTGTAAGGTCCATTCAACCTATACTATTTCTGTTTCTAATAGATTGCAATCGTTCCTTATCAATTTATCAGCTGGTGTATCATATTCACTATAAAATTCAGTGCTGAATACACACGTTAAAAATATCTTAACATTTCCATTTGATCAGAATTCCGTAACACTTTTGATGTTTTTTGACAAGTCGGATAATTTTTAGCAAAATCCTTTTTTAAACAACAATTACTGCTAAACAGAAGCTCTAAGAGGCGAAAATTAGGTATTTATTAACTGGTGAATTCAGCCTCAGTACTCACCATCCTTTCTAGGTCCGTTTAAGTTTTCGAGGATGAACAAAAATTAGCGTTGCAGTGAAGACAAAACTCCACGGGATGCAGACAACACGTTTCGCTCGGCGTTGCTCGTGCAAATGGGACGCAATCGTAGGATGCCTGCGACTTTATATAGATCCTGGACACCTGCGATGACGTCACCAGGTCGAAGGCGGATCTCGACCTCCATTGGCTCACATACATGAAACAGGCAGCCATTCACGGACACGTCGGCGAATTTGGCCAAGTTCAATGATAATTTATTTGTGTATAAAATTTTATCTTGTATAAAATACATATAAGCCATAGCATCATGCGTTTCCGATGAAATGGCAAAGGAAAACGATCTATATATATTTTTATGATACACTATGCATAGGGAACTCCACTTATAAATTAAAAAGTTATAATCCACCTATAAAAAAACGAAAATATATTTGCGAATATATTTACGTTGACAATGCCGCTTTATACGGCAATTCACACGCTATAATTATCGCCTGTAAAAGTTATTCAACATGATTTAGCGTGCGTCATCATTCAATGCAATTAACATTTCTTCGGTGCACGTCCCAGCTTCTTTTTACAACACTTCTATTTAACTTCACTTTTTGTTGTTTATTTGTCTGCTACAAATCTCATTATCGATATTTACCACACTACTTTCAGTTCAATCGATTTGAAATTTTGTGCACTTGCGTAAAGTCGGAGAAAATGCACCAATCAATTGACAGAATAAATAACTTATATGATAAGTGTAACATCGAAGACACTGCCCTCTTTAGAAGTGTTGTCTTTAAAAAGTAATTTTTAAACGCATATAATTATGTATTGCTGGCAATCCAACCTAGTTTCTGCCATGCAATCTCATTATTACCTATGGGGAATTTTGATAGACATCCTCTGCAATAACGTATCTCTGCAATAACGTATGCAATAACGTAACGCCCGTATAAAAACTGTATGATATATTACGAAATTGAATCACGTGATTCTAGAGTCATGTGATTTAAATTTTCTTAGAAATTTCGTCTTTATTTTCCCCTTAATTTGCCGCATTCTCTGAATCTTTCTTAAATACTTATCAATTGCGTTCGACTTGAATTCATTTTACGAGGTGGCAATATGTGTCGTTATACTAGAAATTTGATATTAATTTGAAAAGCTTGGTACCGCAACACATTCCGAGTGTGGCTGATAAAAGCTTACGACCGCGGTGAAAATAAAGTCAAATTCGTGCGTAGTCGATCGTCTGCTTTGATGAATTTATTCAAAAAGCTCGTGTAATTTCTCATTATATAATGAATTTTTGCCTCATTAAGTCCCAAGCATCTCACGAGTGGCGGAAATATTGAAACTGTTCAATAATTTTCGCCAGTTCGGAAGGGCAAGATTTAGAGTTAAAAATTACGGCCCATTGACCCTTGATTTTGCTTTTCAATGAACATTTATTAATTCATCATACGAATAATGAAAAAATAATAATGAAATGAATAATTATACTCTAAAGTCTGTGCACACTGAGGGAGGCGCCTGTCTTTTGTACAATTAAAGAGAGAATGAATGTTTTTTTTTCAACTTGGTGCAATTTTATTACAATTATGAATCGAAATAAATTCCAAAGGTTGCTTTTATTAAAATCTATTCAATAATTTGCCTAATCAATCATATTCATGTGTTTCTCTCAAACACTCTAAGAGGATAATACAAAATCATTTTCAATACAAAATTATGGATAATATTATGCATATTCATGCCAACCTTAAAAATAACTTTATGATTTGGAATGTCCTCAAATGCTTATTAGTGTCGGCTGCAATGCCATTGTAGTTAAATAATTGAGCGACCATAAATTGAACAGAAAACGAAATAGGGTAAAAAATTTGCACTATTTGTGATTGTTCTCTTTTAGGCGGTCAGCCTAAATAGAGCAAGCGTTGTGTTGGTGCAGGTACTAAAATGATTTTTTTTTTGCAATTAAATAAATTTACATTCCAACATAAATGTAAATCTCGCAGTGGATTGCAAATAAATGCCAATTATCTCAGCTGCATCAAATCTTTAGGGCTTACAATACTATATTTATGTTATCATATTTTGTAGATTGGCTAATTCGATCGTTGACTTTCGCACTTTAATAGTTGATTATGTTTAACACCAGTTTCAAACATTAATGCTTCAACAATGTTTCAGTAAAAAATTTTCATATTGTATATCAAATACTGGAAAAGCTTGTAAAGAATTTCTAAAAATCTTCAAGTTTTTGGGTTTCAAATGTGCACGCGGAGATAATCAATAAAATTTATAAATTGAGATACTCATCGAAGTATCACTACTCTAATGATAGTCAATTGGACCTACTAACAATATAACATATTCTTCTTGTTTTCCTCTTGTGTAATTTTTCCTGCAAACGTAAGATCATTCGAGTAATCTGCATCACACACCATCAATCGGAATACCGAATCTTATAGGCGTTTTTGCAGCGTGGGTGTTAATAATCGATTAAATTCGAAAATTCATGCATACATTATAATTTTACGCTAGATATGTGGAGACTCTGTTACCACAAACTGAGTCTTTTGTAAGCTTATAATCAAGCCTGAGAATGCGAGGGTGCTTATAATCTAGCATGACAAGCGTGGGTTTTTATTATTAATTTAATTATAAAATTTGTGCTTACATTTTAATTTTACGCTAAGATTCGTAAGAACTCTGTAACCACAAGCGGAGCCTTTTGGACGCTTATAATCAAGCTTGACAAGCGAGGGTGTTTATAATCAAGCGTGACAAGAGTGGGCTTTTATAATTAATTAAATTCGAAAATGAGTGTATACGTAATAATCTTTCACTAGATACGGAGAGACACTGTAACCACAAGCTGAGTCTTTTGGATTCTTATAATCCAGCTTGACAAGCGAGGGTATTTATAATCAATCGTGGCAAACGTGTGTTTTTATAATCAATTAAAAGCTAAAATGAGTGCACACGCTATAATTTTGCGCTACATGTGTAGAGACCGGCCCTGTTGCCCTGAGCTCAAGTGTAAGAATACACGTGTGTGCAAAATGGACAATGCAGCTGCTGGAAGAATTTACTTCATCAGCGAAAACGGCCTCTCCGCGACGAGTGTTTAAGACTTTGCTGAGCGCTGTTTGCATTCGCGAATCACAAGCGCGTTTTGAGGAGCTTTTTAGCCACGAAAGTGGAAAACTTGGGGTGCAAAAAGAGCAATTTTTCAGACCGGTATGACTAGAAACATTACCGAAACTTTTGAGGGGCAAAGTCTTGCCTAGCGTTCATTTCGGTGGCGTTAGTGACACGTATATGTGAACTTGCCTGGATAATGCTTACTATTTTTCTGAATTAAGAAATAACTACATTTATATACTGAAAACAAAGTAACTATTGTTACATAGAATACATTGACGACACACGTGTCAATCTTAGCAATAAAAAGTATAAATTGGGATTATTATTTGAGGATTAAATTAAGCTCTCAGTTCAATTAATTTTTAGCGACAATTAGCGTTATAATTGTTTGGTACAGCAAAAACTTTCCATGAAATTACGTTAGATGACAAGTAAAAATAATAAGTCAGTTTGAATATCTAAGCCAGGTCCAAAATGTCCTCTAACCCATCATTCATTGTCGTAAGCTTCAAGCGTGTGATACTTCAGCGGACCGCGTAAATTTGATTCTGTACCAGATTGATGCCGAACAATCGATGAATGTCAGGGGTTATTCTAAGCCAAAACATTTGATCCGGTGGGCTAATTGGGAAAAACGTCATTTATAAATGTCGGGTTAATTGAGACTGCCAAGTGATAGTTCAAACAAAAGATATGGCCAGTGAATATATTTTTGTCAACGAGTATTGATCGACCGTTACTCTGAATTGTATCGTTAAAGCCATTCTGCGTCGCATATTAGACTTCGGCCACGCCTACCGCAACTCCAGACCACATTTATATATTCTAGGTGCGTAGGTGCCTTCACATAGAATTAAATATTTATGAATAATATTTATAAGCCCAAAGTTAAATTTTATTCTTTAAAAAAAACTAACGATAAATTGAATGCTAAATGGAAAATTGTGTCTGGGAATAAAATAGAAATATTTTTCTGCCGTGTCAGCTTTTCCGAGTTCATTATCGTATTTCTCTCTTAACGACGATTGCTTCTTGCCCATCAATCGCCAGAATATCATTATTTTTTCGTATCTCTCATTAGAAAAATAGCGTGCAGTTTCTTCTTCTAGAGAGGAGCACGGAACGTTTATCCTTCACTCCAGCACTTCCACAACACGGAACGTTTATCCTTCACTCCAGCAGTTCCACATCACGGAACGTTTATCCTTCACTCCAGCCCTTCCACAACACGGAACGTTTATCCTTCACTACTTCACCCCAGCACTCCCACATCACGGAACGTTTATACCTCACTTCAGCACTCCCACATCACAGAACGTTTATACTTCACCCCAGCACTTCCACATCATGGAACATTTATACTTCACCCCAGCACTCCCACATCACGAAACTTTTATACCTCACCCCAGCACTTCCACATCACGGAACGTTTAAACTTCACCCCAGCACTCCCAGATCACGGAACGTTTATCTTTCACCTCAGCACTCCCACAACACAGAACGTTTATACTTCACCCCAGCACTTCCACATCACGGAACGTTTATACTTCACCCCAGCACTCCCATTTCACGGAACGTTTATACTTCACTCCAGCACTTCCACATCACAGAATGTTTACACTTCACCCCAGCACTCCCACATCACGGAACGTTTATCTTTCACCTCAGCACTCCCACGTCATAGAACGTTTATACTTCACCCCAGCACTTCCACATCACGGAACGTTTATACTTCACCCCAGCACCCCCACATCACGGAACGTTTATACTTCACCCCAGCCCTCCCACATCACGGAACGTTTATACTTCACCCCAGCCCTTCCACATCACGGAACGTTTTGAACGTTTATACTTCACCCCAGCACTCCCACATCACGGAACGTTTATACTTCACCCCAGCACTTCCACATCATGGAACGTTTATACTTCACCCCAA